CCGCCCCTGTAACTACAGCACCCCCGCTGCGCACTTTTCAGCCAAATGCCGACAGCCGACGACGGCAACAATTGAGACAACTTATCATGAAGTGCTAATTAACATTGTCTGGCCGGGGTCTCTCACGTATGCCAATGTCTGGCGACCTACCTGCGGTTACTAGGAGCCCTCCAACCTGCCCCACCGCCCCCCAAGCAGCCCCACCAGAACCACCTCTAACCCACCCAGCTATATGAATAAAAAAAAAAACCAACCGCAATTCCCCCAAAACTGGCACTTGGTCGCGTCTCTCGTCTGTGTTTGCTTTTTTTTTTTGCCATACAAAGGAATACAATTTTTTCATTTTTTTCCTACCATGAATATTCCCAAAAGTTGGGAAAAAATCCAAATAAAAAAAAATAATTGTGTACACATACGACGAGACGGAACATTTTTGTTTATGTTGATAATCTAATATGTGCTGACGTATCTCCTATCTTACAGTTTATTTTTTCGCCACTTTTTATGTGGGGTAAAAGGGGATTTCTGGGTCTGCAGGTTGTATGCGGTGGCAATTTGTTTTCTGTTGACTGTTTTTTTTTTTTGGCGGCTGCTTTGAGCCACCTGGCCGGGCGATCGATTGATCGATTGGATTCGATGCGATCGAGTGATCGTGCCAAGGCTGTGAGCTGTCTGTCTGCATTTATAAATAAATTGTGGCAATTAAATAAATAAAACAGATGCATATGCATGCATTTTTAATTGTCAGCCAGTGCTGAGGCGGTGCACGTGTCGTATACGTAATGGGTACTAGAGTCACCCTTTACACTATTACCTCATCCCCCAGGCGATCGATTCAACAGTGCTCGTGTCAAGTAGCCATTAACTGGTTTTTGTAAACTATGCGAAACTGAGCACGTTTTGAGTTTTGCCACACAAAATATGGAGTTTAAAGTACCGAACAATGTTATGAGATTAAGTATCATCTCAAGATCTTTGTAGAGTTTATAGATCACTGAGGATTATACAAAGATAATTTTAATGCCACCTTTTTTTATAAGGTTATAATGTTATTATTATATTATTTATTTTTAGAAACATTAAATAATGTTGAAAGGGGTAAAATAATAATAACAACTAATATGTTTATCTTGTTTAATTGATCTGTAAGACTAAACTTAATTGTGTGATAATTTTCCTTTTGGTTTATAAAATGTTAAGGTCTCTTTGAGACATTTCTTTAACTATTTTTTTATAATATTTTATAATTGAAACACTTTTACTGATTATTTTTCCATGGCTTGTAGCTCAATGCACAACTCATTTTTTACCCTTTTTATGATAACTCGTCTGCAAAATTTGCTTTATAATTGGTTGCCAATGGTTTCCCACCTGGCAGTCACTGCAGACTCGTGCTGCTTATCAATTTAGCCAACTTCTAGGAAACTAAGAGAAGCATCCTGATCTCCTCGGCCTTTATATAGGGTATCGCCCACAAGTGCACATACATTAGTCTGCATGCCAGAGTGTTAGTCATTAACTTGCTATTGTTGTGGCTGCTGCAAAAAGACTACTTTTGAGTCATTGTTGCCGTTGGCAGAGCGACATCCCATCGATTCAGATTCAGATTCCTATACCTAAACATATATACCTATTCCTATTCCGATGCCGATGCCGATTCTGATTCCTCAGCCTTTTGGCTTGCTGTGATTGTGATAAGCAGACTGTGGCGAGACAACAAAAGACATCGCAGACAAGTTTGCACTTACTTTACTTGCACCAATGTAGCAATGTGGCGATGTTTTGATGTGATGCGATGGTGCTGCTTTTGATATTTTTAGACACCGCCACTCCGCCTGCCGAGGCGAAAAATAATAATAATACGAGAAAAAAAAGTAAAGTAAAAAGTAAAAAATAAAGGCGGAGGCAAATGGCGTTGGCACATCGCGCACACAAATCGCATCGCCTCACATGCCGCCAGACAATGAGTCTAGTCGGGCATCGGTTCAGATTCAGATTCAGATTCAGATGCAGGTACAGATACAGATACACTTGCTGATACAGATGCTGATTGCGAAACAGACGATTCTTCACCCAGTTCATTCAAAATTTGCCACAATTGATGATGCATCGAAGCGTTACCACACACACGCAGGAGAAATGGGAAAAACAAAAGTGATCGAATCACTTGTTGTGATCTAATCTATTAGCAGATCCCTTAAAATGGTTGTCATAATGTTTGTAAGAAACCTAATAAGAAAGCTTAATAATTGAAGTTTAATCTATTATTTAGAAAAAATAGTCCACACCTAAGAAATTTTGTTTTTTAATGAAATATACTTACTAAATAAGAGCAATTTGTTCTTAAATTTGAGAAGAGGCGCTAATACCGAATCGTTTACCAATGGTTTTTTGGGTATAACAAATCATAACAAGCAGTGTTAATAATTTTAGACATAGATAAAATTTTCTAAAAAAAAAATTCCCTCTATTAGATGATTTTCACTTTGGTCATGATCATTTATCATAGATTTATTATCGATTTATCATCGACTTATCATCGATTTATCATCGGATGCAACAGGTACACACAAACACCGGGCCAATGGCACCCTAAAGATTCCACTGCGCTAATGAATTTCCTGCCGCCTTTCTCTGCTCTCAAAGGCAGCCAGCTCATTAAGCCCTCCATTGACTGGCTAAAGATGGAACAATGGCCAATACAAAGAGCCCGGTCTCGAATCATAACTCATTGAACTTTTGCCGGCAGCCGTTGAAACATAAAAAGTGTCAATCAGTGACTCTGCTGTGGCAACGATGGCGACGCCTCCAAAGACCCATTACAATGCCATTTTTATGGACACCGCTGGCGGGGATGTTGCACCAGCTGGAGGAGATTGGAAGGCAGGAGGAGTGGGGCAAGTGGGCAAGGGGAGCAGCCGCAGCAGACGGCAGGGTCGTAAATGTAGTAATAATAGTCGCCGAGGGCCAACGCCGACGTTCGCTGGTTGCGGTCGGGATTTTCTGGGGGTGGGCAGGCGCATCATGCACTGAGCGAAAAAATCACAGCGCAAGGTGGAAGTTAAAATATATGACTTAATTCTCTTCATATATTTATATCCCTTCAAGTTTTACATGAACAATATCAATACTTCGGTTAAAAATAGGTATTTCCCATCAATTCCATGAAAAATACTTATATTTTTGGGGATATTTTACACAATAACTAATATAAAAAGAAAATAAGGAGCGTTGTTAAGACCGCGGTAAGCCGTAAACATTTATATTTGTTGTCAATGGTGCTGTCTTTATTACTATTATTTATGTATATTTTAAATTAATGATTTTACTCAAAAATTTTGTATAATTATGGTTTTCTACTACATTGTATTTAATATATTTAAATTCAAATGGACCCAAAATACATTTTTAGCTCTTCCAAGAATTCACATATTTTTTCTCAGTGTGGTGGTGGCTCAGTTGTCCATTGGCTGGTGTCGAAAAGCAAGACATAAATGTCTAACATATGCTGAGGATGGCTTTTGGAGTTGGCCGGCGAGGCGACAGGTCTATTACGAAGAGCCTGCTTATGACGGGTTATTGCCCGTCTTTTGTGACGAACCACAATCTTAAGCAACACTTAACGGATATAGATATGATCGATAAAAGTATTTAAAAATGAAAACCTTTATAAATAACATATAAATTTATTAAATACAGTACTTTGTCCCACCAAAATCGATTTAAAAAATCCATTTAACCAACCAAATTTATAAATTTACCTTTAAATTTTCAAAGAAAAATTCTTATCTCACCAGATCTTCAACGAATTGAAAACTAACATTAGTGGCAAACTGAGGCTTTCCATAAAATATCCAATCTATTGCCAATAAATAATCGCCTGTAGGTAAAGGAAGTCGCATAACATCCGTGCTTAAATACATATCCTTTATGAAAATGTCACCCTTTGAAGAGATAAAAGAGTTACAAATGAAAAGCCTCAATACTTTGAACCCACAGACTTACATACAACGGGCAGGTGTGATTGATGTTGGAAAAGTCCTTATAAATACTAAATAGAAATATTGCAATGGCATCATAGGGTCTACGCAGATATTTACAACCGTCGATTCTAACATTGATGAGCCAAGGCTTATACCCACTCTCTCTTTTGAACAATTGGTAGTGAACAATAATATTCCTAGTTGGATGGAGAAAGGTGGCATTGAAATTGAACACAGTCTTGTGACGATTAATCGCCTTCAAGCGACAATGATTAATCCTAATCCAGGTTTCATTGTAACTGCCGCAATTGACATTTGTCAGTTTGAAGACCACTGAGTTCTGTTAAATAAATTACCAGTGAAAGGATTATAAATTCGAAATATTAATGAAAGCATACACTGGAATTGAAGATTATTATGCACAATAAGGCCAAAAAAGTGACCATTTTAAGGCTAGACTTCATGATTTCAAAACTTAATAAAAACTACCGAGTTCTAGCACTATTTGTTTATGCTTTATTTATATTTTTTGCTTTTATCGTTCAATCCATCGTCTGGTCCTAATTTCCCTTTCAATCATTTTTCAATTACGTTTCTTTTTTAGTAATGGTTTTTTAATTTTTAGAACAAATCAATATTGAAAAACAATAACTGTTGGTCACGATTTTGTTTTGGATTGCAAATATTTGATTAATATGATTGTGGAATATGAAGTTTAACCCCTACCTTTAATAAATTATTAATTTATTCATATTCATTTGAATATAGAATTTTAGGTGATATAATTATTGAACAACTATAATAAATTATTAATAAATTGTATCATACAGTTATGCAAGCTACCTGATTACAAAAAATTGTGAAATTTGATACCTTTTCCCTACCATTTTAATGAATATTATAATGTGTAAATGAAAGACAACAAATAGTATTCTTCACTATACTCATTTTTATTTATCTTAATTTTAACTATTAATTAGTTTTAAAACTAATACATTCGAAACAAATTATGGTGGATTACAACAGATCTTCAACATACTGGAAACTAACGTTAGTTGCAAACTGAGGTTTCTTAAAGAATTTCCAGACCATTGTCATTAAATAATCGCCTGTTGGCATTGGAAGCCGCCTTAGTGGTTCCGTTTTCAGATACATGTTTCTAATAAGAATATTGCCCTTTTGAATACAAATAGGAAAAAGATTACTTTAGGATTTAAGAAGGAAAATGTGCAACTTACATATATCGGGCAAGTATGATTGATGTTTGAAAACTCGCTGTAAAACTTATAAATCATTACCCCAATGGCATCATAGGGTCTCCTCAAGAATTGGCAAGCATCTATGTTTACATTTACCAGCCAGGGCTTATAGCCACTCTCTCTTTTAAAGAGCTGATATCTCACTGAAATATCGGTGGTCGGATATATAAAGGTGGCATTAAAGTTGAACACTATTTTATGGCGACCGATCGCCTTCAAGCGGCACTGATTGATTATCACCCAAGATTTATTGTAGCTACCGCACATTACATTGGTCATCTTAAAAATGACACATTCCTGAGAAGTAAATACCAATTACTATCACTTCGGTTGGAATATCTAAAAAACTCACACTGGTATGAAGAGTAAAAAAATACGCTAGGAAAGCCACTCTTATAAAGTTCTGCATGTCGATGCCACTTTGAATGTACAGAACTACACTTTAAATGACATTTATATATAATTTTAACTTAATTGCGATTGTCGTTTTACGCATGTGTGCCCCTTTACAAAGTTTTAACTAACACTTTTGCTATAAAACTAATTAATAAAACGTTTAAATATCTATATTTCCAACCAATCGAATTATAATTGTCAGATTCAAAAAACACTATGTCTGAATTTCGAAAAGTTACCTAATAATAAAGTATACCTTCAAGTGCTAACATCATTAGTCGTTATAAAGACTGCGAAATCCTTAAACTACTACTACTAATTCATATTAATATATTATTCAACAACTGAGTAAAACCACAAGCAGGAATACCTGGAAATCAATCCCTTATTTAAAAAAGGATTTGTCTTTTTTCCGTTTTTTTCCACATCTGTCCTTTTTTTGCTGGCAGCTCTGAATAATAGGTTTATATTAATTTGTATAATTCATTCTTTAACGGTCCAGCCACCCTTAGTTTATTAACTGTATCCCATATAATGTATAAAGGTTAATATAATTAAAATAATGAATCAGATCAGATTCTCAACATATTGGAAACTAACGTTAGTCGCAAACTGTGGGTTTTTAAAGAATTTCCAAGTAATTGCCAATAAATAGTCGCCGGTGGGCAAAGGAAATCGTCCCAGAGTTACTGTCTCCAGGTACATGTTTTTTATAAGAATATCACCCTTTCGAAGAAAGAAACATTAAAGATTCTTATAGGAATGGACCAGGCATTTTTTTAACTTACGTACAACGGGCAAGTGTGATTTACGTTTGAAAAGTCTTTGTAAAAATTATAAATCATTATGCCTACGGGATCATAAGGGTTCCTTAGGAAGCGACAACCATCCAAGTTCGTATTGATGATCCACGGCTTATAGCCATTGTTCCTTTTAAAGAGCTCATATTTAACCACGATATCGTTTGTCGGATGGACAAAGGTTGCATTGAAGTTTAAAACTATTTTTTGGCGGCTTATTGCCTTCAATCGACACTGATTGATCAGTACCCAAGATGTATTGTAACTGCCGCACACCACATTGGTCAATTTAAAGATGACACATTCCTAGAAATTAGAAATCAATTACTTTGCCTCCGATACCGGAATATTTAAAAAACTCACACTTGTATGAGTAGTGAATAAAAATGCTAGAAAAGCCAATCTTACACAGTTCCTCATAATGTTCTAACATTAAATAAGCGCAATTGCCCTTCGAATTCAAAATATATATGAGTTAAAATTAATTGGTATTGTCGTTTAACGCTTGTGTACATTTAAAATGAATTGTAATTGATATTATTGCCTATTTAAAAATAATAATGCATTTAAAGGTAAATATCTATAAAGGTAATTGATATTGTTGCCAATTTTAAAAAAATAATGCATTTAAAGGTAAATATTTAAAAAGGTCAAAGTCGAACGTCCTTTTCAAAAATAAAACAAAAATAATATTTTGTTATTTTGAAATAATAATAATAATTGATTCCTTTAAGCCATTTCGATTTATTTATTATTTAACTAAGCCGAAGTTTATTATAGTAAACTAAATATTTAGTAATAGATATATAAAGTGATTCCATTCTGATACAATAGAAGGCGTACTCGTATAAGAAACTATCTTCCGAACTTAAAAGTTTTGTAGATTACAACCTATTTTCAACAAAACTCAAAATGTTATAAGAACAATGGATTAGGATCAATATAGAAAGGTATTCAACTTTAATATTTTTTATCACATAAGTTTTTTAACTTTTCAATGATATAAAATCAACATAAAAACATTTATCAATATTTGTCGTACTTTGATTTAAAATGAGTCCTCAATGAATTGAAAACTTATGTTTACGTCGAACTGAGGTTGCCTGAAGAACTTCCAAGACGTAGCGAATAAATAGTCACCGGTGGGCCAAGGAAGCCCCTTGAACGGTTCAATGGTCAGATACATATTCTTAACGATGAGATCACCCTTTAAAGTATCAAAACTGTACGGATAGTGTTATTCGATTTGATTACAACTTACAGACATCGGGCAAGTGTGATTGGCGTTGGTGAAGTTTCTAAAAAAGTTATAGATCATAACACCAACGAAGTTATAGGGTTGTCTTAGGAATCGGCAGCTATCGATCTCTAAATTGATCAGCCAGGGTTTATAGCCACTCTCCCTCTTGAAATATCGGTACCTCACTCTAATGTCGGGAGTTGGGTAGAATAAGGTTGCGTTAAAATTGAAGACCACTTTGTTGCGACTTATCGCCTTCAAGCGACACAAATTGATCCGAACCCACGACTTATTATGACTTATGCACTGCGCATTGGTCATTCTGAAGATGATGGAGTCCTTGAAAATAAATATTATTCACTCTACTCTCTTCATCCTTAATCGATAAACATCAAGTACTTACACTTCTATCACTAGTAAATAAAAGTATTAGAAAAGTGACCACTATTGTATTGTTCCGCATGATTTTTAGAGATAGACCATGCAGTTTTAATCGTGAATGCCCATTAAATGGTATTCAGTATAAGAACGATATTTATAGTATTAATTCAATGGCATAGTCGATTAAGTCCTCGTGTCAATAATTAAATATTTTTAATATACTTATTGTGCTGATAAAATTAACGAAAGTTATAAAAACAAAATGAAACATACTAAAATCGAAACAGTTTACAATAAATTTTCAACAAATTGGTAGCTAACATTAGTTACGAACTGAATTTTCCGATAGAACAACCAATTTACTTGCAGCATATAATCGCCGGTGGGATACGGAAGGGAATTTAGTTCAGTTGTGAGATGCATTCCTCTTATCAAAATATCCCCCTTTAATCAATAAATCAAAGAAATTAAGAAGAGTATAGTGTTTAAAATACTTGGTTACTTACATAAAGTGGGCAAGTGTGATTTATGTTTGAAACATCCTTATATGTACGGTATATCAATATGGACAAGGCATCATAGGGTCTTTTTAAAAAACGGCAACCATTAATCTTTTTTCTATACAACCATGGTTTATATCCGTTTTCCCTCTTTAAAAATTGATAGTCCATTAAAATATCGTTAGTTGGGTGATGAAAAGTTGCATTAAAATTAAAAACGGTTTTATTCCTATTGATCGCCTTTAAGCGGCACTCATTAATTGTGACCCAGGATTTATTGTGACTTTCGCAATTTACATTTGTAAGTTTATAGGTGACAGAGTCCTGTAAAATAATTGATCTTGATTGACCAGAAAAATTTGTGTATTTATTGGACTTACACTTAATCTCCATGTTAAAAAAATGGTAAGGATACCAACTACTTTCAAAGCGTTCCGCATTACTTTTTTGACTTCAACGTATTATGGTAAACTAATTTCCCATATGTAACCTTTCGAGTTTATAAGTCAAAATTACATTTAATTGTAATGTAAGGAGTTTTACATAATTTACTTTTAAATTATTTTTTAATAACTATAGTTTTTTTACAAAACTATTGGCTTGACATATATTTGGTTAATCATAGGTATTTATGAAGATAATTCAAATGGAATATTAATTAGCAACCGTTTATGGTATAAAGGCCAAACTAAAATCAATAGACAGAGTTATTTTACAGAAGTTGGAGCTTTTTTATATTTATTCTCTGCACTTTTAGTTTATTTTTTTAAACATCTAAAATATATATGGTAAATAAGGCAGTTCAGTGATTCCAAAAAGTGTGTATAAAATTAATAACCCAAGAGGAGGATGCGAAAAGAAGAGCCTTCATTTCTATAATAAAATCAAGATGGCTGGACACAATAAGGTGCTGAAAGTCAAAGGAGTTGTGTGCCAAATGCTCATTATACAAATTGCACAAGGAGATGAAAGATCCTGCCTCAAAAAGAAGATGGGAACGAGAACGCGAACGCTAAGAAGTCAGCCCAGCCAAAGGCCCCTGGACAACACCTTTTGGAAGCCGCAGAGACATTGATGGAATGACTGACAGACTGAATCGCACTGAATTCAAATTCAAATGAACCCCCGGGCAGGGGCGCAAAAGAATCTATTAAGATATTATCAGGAGGGGTGAATCAGTGCACATCCACATGCAATTGTTGCAGACAATTTGGGTCGGGATGAAGCCGCTGCGATGAGGCAGCCCACAATTGCGGCCATTAGTGCGGATCGAGGGGCACGAACAGCGGCTGTCTGGCAGTGGATCTGAATCTCAGCCGACTCTGTCTCAGGATGAGATTGGGGATGGGTTTAGGGTGGGGATGACGGGATGAGGATGCGGCTGAGTAGGGTAGTCGATGCCAAAGCAACCCTTTTTCTTGTCTCGACCGGCGTGTGTGTTTTTTCGTTCGTTTTGTAGACATTTTTCGTATGACAACGACAAATATTTGCCGGATAATATGAATAACAAAGCAGAAGGCACTGAAGGCGAGAGAAGAGGCCACATCAGAGGGCGCAAAAAGGGGGCGTTGCGGGTGGCACGGTGGCTCGGTGGTTCGGTGGCTCAGTGGGTGGTTGGGCGGTTCGGTGGGTGGTTGAGGGCCGAACACAGGGTGGTTAGCCAGCCAACCTACTTAAGCCGCAGTTAGAGACCCAGACTCCCATTTACCAGTCTCCGATTCAGCATTTTGCACTGACAAAAATGAGATCATACTCATTTACAACTCACTTTAAAATTTTAAAGAGAAATTTGATTGTGAAGTAATCTATAATAATATTATACCTTTTATAGTTTTTATAAAAAAATGTACCTTCAGTTATAGATTGCTAGATTTTAAAATCCACAACAATTTCAAACATAATCAAAAAATGTCAAAATAGGGATGAACCACGTTTAACTTTTTAAAAGTTTAAAGAAAATAGGTATATGTGCTACAAAACAAGTAGGTTAAATTTATAAAAGTTTTTTTTAACAGATTTGTAGAGATTTTTAAAAAACAATTTTTCTAAGTTTTCTTGAATGAGATCTTAAATCAATACATTTTTTTGCCTAAGGAAAGGTAATGAAATATTTTTAAATAGTTATATGAATAAATTTGGAAAGTCTACGTTGAAGTTTAACACATTTTTTTTTTCATAGGCTGAACTGAATTGAACAAGTTATAACTCAATCAACCTATAATAATAATATATATACAATATCCTAACTTCAACATTTTTTTTAAATATTTCAACAAGCTGTACTCTTTTTCCGCAGTGCATTTCTGGACGGGGCCAGACGACTACAACTTAAACTAAAAGGCTGCACCACGTTGTTGCTGTCGCCGATGTTGCCGCTGTGTTGTTGTCGCCGGTGTCTGAGACGCAGACAACTTCAAAATGGAGCGGTTCTGGAGCCGGAGAATAGCTGTAGCTGTATAGCTATAGCTCCGGTGGCCCTAGTAGACGGCTGGCCGGACTGACTGACACAAAAGTGCTTTTGTTGCAAAGTTTAATGAAGAAGAACACGTTGAGGCCGACGGAGCGAAGGAACAGATTTGCCAGGACAAATGAGACATGCAAAGCTTGGGTGAAAGTAATACATAGAAAGGGAATAATTAATGCTGTTGAACAGAATAGAACATTTTTTAAAAAGTCACATGACTTGCAGCACTGGTCTCATTAAACAGAAAAAGTTTATGGAACAAAAAAAGAGTTCATGACGGGATAGTTATAATAGAGTGAGTTCAATTTGAAATGGAAGGGTATGGATCGGTAAATAGATTTGGTAGAATCAGTAAAAACAAATGTAATATTACTTTGGAAAAGAGAAAATACAATTTTAAACAGAAGATTAGGCCTTGTCGTCTAAAACCAAGGATCTTCAACTAGCATTCTTCATTTTACTTTTGATCGTGGGCTTTTTTTTAAGTAATGTTCAAACTGTTCCAAAACTGTTCCAAAACTTTTTCAACTTAAAAAAATGGTTAATTCTGTTTAGCAAACTCTGTTAGATCTGAAAACATTCAGGCTTTCTGGGACACTTTTAATATATATATTTTTTGAGATTCGATAAAAACATAACTTTATAAGCCTCTTCAAATCGCCTAGTTAGTCGCCATTTGCTGTGACACTAAGCCGACTGAAGTGACGCCACAATGCAGCAAAAAGGCATTGGCCTCCAGTCAATATGCCCATAATTCCGATCTTTTCTGGACACAAAAATTGCCCACTGTCTGGGCAGGAAATAAAAAAAAAATGTTTAAAGGGTGAACGAAATAAAAACGAAAAAATGAAAAAATGAAAACGAAAAAACCCAAGTGCATTGCAGCGACTACAAAAAATTGCATGCTGAGCTTTGCTGTTGCTTCGGTTGGTGTTGCTGCTGCTGCTGTTGATGTTGCTGGTTGCTGGTTGCTGGTTGCTGTTGCTGTTGTAGTTGCTGTTGCTCCTGTTGTTGCTTCTGCTGCTGCCGCTGCTCTTACCTCTCCTGGCGATGCACTTCAGACGGCGACGACGACGACGACGCTTTGTTGCAGCCCAATACAATCGACACACAGACAGGGGCGGTGTGAGGGGCGGGGGGGTTGCAGAAAAAATCCAAGGGGGGTTGCAAGGGGGCAGGGTTGTCGCTGACGACAACAGACGGGGTCGCGAAGGGTTTTTTTTTTAAGCGGAGTGCGGAGAAGGGCGACTTGTCAGCGGGACAAGAGGGGCTGCTGCGGGGGTAGAACTGCAGACCGTGGCAGACAAAACAATATGTTTGTTTGGATTATATCCTACATACACACACATGCAGCAAACACACACACACACACACTCACGCAGTTGCAGCGATGCGACGACGACGACGCTTCTTTGTATGCGCAAACAATTGGAGCAGGCGGAAGTTGCATGGCGGCGTCGCCTCGGTCGTCGGTTGTCCGTTGTCCGTTGTCCGCTGTCCGTTGACGGTTGTCGGTTGTCCGGACAACCAGTGAGAGTGAGCGGTATGGCCGGCTGAACGAGGCCAGAGAGAGACGGAGGAGGCTGGCGGGAAGGAGAGAGGACGAGTCACGACCGAACACCCCATGGTGCACCTTGAAAATGCGTTTTTTCTTTTTTTTTTTGCTCGCTTCCAGCTTCATTTGGCCCTATCCCTACGCCTTGATTAACTGTCAGTGACTGAAAAGTGATTTAATCAAGGCAATGTCCAATCAAACACACAAGAAAACCATAATGAAGGGAAAAAATAAGGCCTTAAAGATGACTTTTAAGACTACAAGATACCCAAGACAACCGCTCTTGAATTACTTACAAAACATACAATGTATAAGAACTATAATCTAAGAATGTAGATAAGTTTAACATAACTAATCGATTGCATGTAATTCTTATGTACTATATTGATTATTCATAGAATATCCGAAACATTAATCAATATTTAACCATCAAGCATTCTTCTAAAAATAAAAAAAAAGTCCTTCCCTCTCTTTTATTATTTATAAATCTTCGATTTCTTATGCAGCTACAACCATTTAATATATTATATTTATATTATATATATATAAATATAATATATATATATAAACTTGGTAACACATAATATATATATCATCTTAACGTTTCCAATTTTTGCAGTGGTTTTCGTAAGCTTTCCCAATATCTATGATAGATCTTTTTATAGTGGTTCTTTTTTTCAGTGGTTCCTGTAAGCTTTTCCAATATCTATAATAGATCTTTTTATAATATGATGTTATTTTTCCAGTACTAATATCCCAAAAGTTTTTATATATTAAGAGAATATACCCACATCTTTTATGTGTGCAAAGGGTAGAGAAAAACCAAAGGCCCCAGCAACATGTGCTCCATATGGGGCAGGGACGAAGACCTCGATTCAGATTGAGACTCAGACTGAGGCTCGGATCCGACACGAACAGATCGCTGCTTTAACTTAGCTCAGGCCCAGACTCAGGCCCAATCCCAAGACCAATCCCCAAACCAATCCCCAGACCCAGCCCAACCCAAAGACCATGGACTATTCCCCGGCAGCCAGACCACATCAATCAACTGCTGCCCGCCGTTTGCTGCTCCCTCAAGTGAGCATCCTTCAAGACGCAGCTTTTAGTCGAAATCCACTTGCATCTCCGCTGATGTTGCTTAAGTTGCTGATGCAACGTTCGTTGCTGCTGTTGCTGCTGCTGTGCCTCATGTTGCTGTTGCTGTTGCTGCTGCGTCAACGTCGACCATATTTGACATGGCCATAATTACAGTCAGTCGTCTGCTGGACTCGCGACGACGCCGTCTTGGTCTTGCAGCTGGACTTGGACTTGGACCTGGGATAGGGATTGGGATTGGGATCGGGACCTGGAAAGGGGACTGTTGCTGTTGCTGTTGCTGGGCACTGGAATTGGGGACTTGCAGCTTGTTTTCAGCGCGCTTT